ATGGTCCCACTGTGGGTCACACCACCACAGAATACTGACTACCTGGCTTTGGATATTTGTCTATTAATCTAATGAAACTAAAACTTAGTGCAAGTCTCTCCTCAAAAAGTTTCAGCTACTACTGTAGCTCAGGAGAATTTAATTCAGTATGAATGCGGGAGTAGGGGCAAGTGTTCTGATGCCGTTTTCAAACTCCTCAAAGAACTGGTCAGTGCAGCAGTTCCTGTGTCCCCCATTCATTTCAAAACAGAGATTAAATGGAATAATTTAAAAGGAAAACCAGACCACTAAAAGTATAATCAGTTGGAAGTACCATTTTTAAACTTAAATTCTGTTTGGCTTTTGATCAGTTTTGCAGCTGTGTACAGTCTGAGGAAATTGACTAGATTTTTTTTTCTTTTTAAACAGATCTGAATACATGCATTTGTATACTTTACATTTACATGCTTCTAAAAACCCTAACAGTTAAAAGTGTTATCCATAACTTGCTACAAAATGATATTCTAGCTTGTAAAAATACATGTACTTCATGGCTAACAGCATTAGTGAAAGAGGGACCTGAACTTACTCCATTTGTAATCTGCAAAGGTGTCAGTGTTGATTTCAGTGGTTAGTGGTCTGAAACAAGAGCTGTGAAAGCCAAAGGCATGATTTAAGTTTCCATTTCTGATGTCACCATTTGCTGTTTCAGTTCTAAATCATCCAGCTCCCAGCTTCTCACAATCGTTTTCTACCATGTACGTATTAGATAAACACTCAATTGTTTTGAACCACAATGGTGTAAATTACACTAACACAGATATAATGCAGTAGAATTTGTCCAGCTTTACTGGATTAATCTTGCCACTCCTTTTATCTTACCATTCCATCAAGGACTTTGCCAAATACTACATGTTTTCCATCTAACCAGGAAGGCTTTGTCACACTGATGAAGAACTGGGATCCATTGGTGTCTGGGCCAGAATTAGCCATGCTAACCCATCCAATTCCATAGTGTTTGAGCTTGAAGTTCTCATCTGGAAACCTTTCTCCATAGATGCTTCTTCCTGTGACACAAAATAAGAAAGCAAACTTTAAAAACAATCAATAAAAAAACCACCCCTTTTGTTAAAAAATTGGAAAAACAAAGTATAAATTCAGGACTTGAAGATTCATTATTTCAGTAAGCACAGCAACATCACTGTTACATTGTCAGTGATTCCGTAACTAAAAGCATTTTGTGTGTAAAGAAAACAATAACCTAAACCACCACATCTAAGGAGTAAATATTTAAAGCTGATGATGCTTTATCCTTTGAATTTAATAAGCGAGCTGAGTACCTTCAAAGGTTCTGATTACATACACCACTGAGCAACAGTACACTTCACCCTGTTCAACAAATGTCAATTACCTAGTTAAGGCCACTAAAAATAAGGCTGCCACGTTTTGTGACAATTTTAGTCTTTAGTTTTACAACTCCTCCTCCTAATAAGAAATTGCTTTAGACACATTTAGAAATATATGAAGGCCAAATGGAAGTCAGCCTAAAAGACTCAGTGTGGATTTGTGCAATCATTACCTAGGGATTTTGATGTTTCTAAAGTAGTTCTGAAGAGAAAACACTTGAGTCATGTTTAAACCACCATCACTTTGAAAAGAGAAGGCTGTCTGTTTCGTTCCTTATTGTACAGTGCCTAGCACAATGGGGACACCACTCCCAGTGCCACCAGATACTATCCCAATAAACAGTATCAGCAGCCAAACACTCTTTAATGCTATAATGGTGTCTTTGGTATTCAGCCTTCCCCATTGTTCCCTTCGAGGAAAAGGAATGTGTGTTTTCCATTTTGTCACAGCGAGGAAATCACTAACATTGTACACACAGTTTAAATTGCAGCACGTGAAGAATGTGCACGTAAAGCAAGAGAAATCAAAAGCCAGATGCTGCCCTGGGCTTGCACTCTTTAGTGGACTGAGCTGGTCTTCTGGAGGTTCAGAAGGGAGAAGTGATACACACAGAACTCACGCCACCAGTAAGCTTATGGTTTTAAGTAAGAGAAAAAAGGGGAGAGGGCATTACTGTCATTTTCTAATTTCTGTACCCCTATTTGAAATTCCCTCCCACAGCACATTTCAGAAGTTTACACAGAACTGGCTGGCTGAGGAGTTGTAGGAGCAGCTCAGCTGGTCATGTGGCTCCAGCCCACCATGCAAAGCCCCAGGCTTCTTGAATGGGGACAAGTCACAGACAGAAAAGAGCTATCTGAGCAAAAACTGAGTACAAAGGAAGCTCTACACATACTTATAATCAGGTATTCCAAATAATTGCAGCTTACATTCCAAGAAGCTTGGAAAAGTACTAGATGCTCTAAAACAAATGGTTTGTTTTTTTTTTCATTTATGTGAGCTGAAAGAATATGCTGTTTTGTCCATCTTTTCAGCAGGCATTTGAAGAAACAAAAGGGAACCTGGAAGTTACTAAGCATGTTACCTCCTGATCCATCTCCAGCTGTAAAGTCTCCTCCCTGTATCATGAAGTCTTTGATCACACGATGAAATTTACTTCCTTTGTATCCATATCCTCTCTAAGAAAATGAAATAATTATTTAAATTAATATAGCATCCCATTCTATACAGTCATATGGAAATAGTCATGTGGTGAATGGATAGGTTTCACAGAATATACCACCAGCAGAGACAAATACTGGCAAGAAACAAATTAAACTGAGATGGGGATGAATGCAGCTGGGCTGCACTGCCACAAAGCAGATATTATTTGGGTGATCAAAGCCACTGTCTTTATTTGACTGGTATCTATCTGACCACAGTACCTCTCCAAGCTAGATCTGCATAGCAGGGACAGATTGAGGTGGTGATATCCAGCATCTCAAAATTACCTCTTGTGAATCAAGCCCTACGCACCTGAGAAGACACACACCAGTGCACAGCCTCGGGGGTGGCACTCTTGCACAGGCTTCACTGAATTAAGATCGACAGTTCACAACCGAAACAGCAGTAAATAAATATTTACTTCCTAATCCAAGCTTGAGTACATAGTGGAAGAAAACCGCAACGTACTTCTCCAGTTGCCAGCACAATGAAGTTCTCCACAGTCTTTGGGACGACTTTTCCAAACAATCCAATTACAATTCTGCCAACATCTTTGTCTCCAATCTTCACATCAAAGAACACCTGAACATTTTTGAGAACGGAACAAAGGTGATACAAACATAAGCGCAACAAAAAGGCCAAGCTTTTGAAAGCATAAGGTGGTTAGAAACTGCTTCTGGCTGGTCTACATTAATACTATCCTTCAATTCCTGAGGGTGCTGTTTAAGAAAAATCCTTTCAGAGCTACCAAAATCAGATTACACAGAAAACTGTTTGAGAACTGGTGACTATACGTTTTGATTCTTACTGCTTTTAAGGGCTGAGTGAGACTGCTGTATCACATGTCTGAAGGTAGTGGTCAAGGAGATTTTTCCCAGGCATACATGTCTTTAAAGCTCTATGGAAAGAAATAACTTGACTGTGAGAGAAAAATCTCATGATTCCTAGAGACCAGATAATAAAATGACAAATGAACTCCTGATGAATGCATCGTACTGCGTGTGAAAGAACAATGATGCTATTCCAGTGTGGTGAACAATAACAAACAACTATAGTACTGACACTCCCCACAAACGATAGTTTGCTATCCACTCATAATCTTCACTGTGCGAGGCATCAGTATGTATGTGATTAAGTATAGGGAAAAGCCTAAATTTCATTAAATCGACAAACAGTGGGAAGAAAACCCTACAGCTCAAGCAAGGAGTCGCCTTCCTCAATATGAATTCAAACTGGATAGAGAAATAACCAGGCTACGTTACTCAGCTGATTGCCTAAAAGTTTCAATGTCGATGTTGCTAAAAAGCAACTTCAAAAAGACAAATGAGTTATAAAACATTGGAATCTAGTTCAGAATACATGAACGCATGTTTGAACGTGCAAAAATGTTCCAACAACTACTGAAAATAGGAACAGCTGTCAGGAAACGAGGCATTCTGAAGTTCTGAAAAAGTTACACGAAGACTATTATAACTTCTAGGAAACACCAACATGTATTTCCTATGATGTGGTATTTGCTGTGCCTTGTGGCACTCAACCAAATACTACTTGTCTGCAATGCTAAGAAATTAGTCCAATAATGATAATAAATGACCACAGTCTCTCCAATGTGAATGCCTCTTTCACGCTCTTCTACTAAACATTTCTATCATTTCTTGATCTTCCATGTGGTTTTGACTGTTGAACTTTTGGCAAATGCTATAAAAGCCCTATAAAAAAAAATAAAATTCCTTTTGATACACCTCATTCATTTCCTTGGCACTTGGCACTAAATAACATACTACTTAGATGTGTGGCTCCCTAAGTATTAACAGCACACTTTCACTAACTTCTTAGCATTTTTATACACATACCTCTCTGAATTTGCTGCCAGGGTTATCTAGGTAAGGGATATTGCCTGCCTATGATTTCTAAACGCACCTTATTTCACCCAAAAACTCTTGAAGAAAATAGGCATTGTAAATTCTAAGTCTCATTAATATTTATATAAAAATTTGCAGGAAGTATTTCAAGACTGAAATGAAAAAGAATGCACCAATAAGAGTGGCTGGTTATCATAAACATGTATAATTTACACAAGATGGTGTATGTCAAAGTGAAAAAAATAGTCAATTATTCAGGGGAAAAAAAAATAACTTCACTGTGAAAGAAAAATCTCATGATTCCCAGAGACCAGGTAATATAATGACAAATGAACCCCTGATAAATGCAAAATACTGTGTGTGGAAAGGGGACTATGCAGCTGCAGCAAGAGTTACTAAATTGGCTACCACTTGGAAGAGACATTTGGAGTCGCCCTGAGCAGTTTGATAGTAAGTTTGGCTCTGGGCCTGTGAAGGTCAGAGAAGGAAATGAATGTTAAAAATAATTAAAAATGGATAAGGACAAGAGATGCACATAATTATGCCACAGTATACATCTGTACCATGTATTCACACTGAGTGCTACATGTAATTTTGTCTTCTCTATTGCAGAATGATAAAGCCAACATAAAAAAGGTAGATAAAATGACAGCACAGATGCTCAAAGATCTGGAATACCTCTTCTATGAAGAAAGGTTAAAAAAAACTATGCGAGCAGAAAGAGACAACTGTTGTGATTTGATGAGCTCTGTAAAGTTATGACTGGCTTGGACAAGGAAAATTGGCAGCTGCAATATGACCCATAAAGTAAGAATCAGAAAAGGGCATAAACTAAACAGGCAGAATAGCACTTTATGCATAATTACACTGGAATACATTGCCAGATTATTTTGGGGCCAAAGCATATGGGATATACCCCTGCAAAAAAAATCAAATTCATGGACTAGAAGACCATGGCAATGAAACTGTAGACAGGTGTAAACAATGGTGGCAATGAACTTCAGAGACAAGGGACAGCCAGTGGCTTAGGAAGCCGAGGCCCGAGGAAGCACTGTGCCCCTGCCCTGCCCTGCCCGGCCCCGCCCTGCCATGCTTTCACAAGCGCAGGCAGCTTCCACCAGGAACATGGCACTCTTGAGTGTAAATGGAAAGGTGGGGCAGAGACATCTAATCCCCACTTTATCCAAAGCTGGAGTAGACATCCCACCTCCTGCACCAGCAAAAACCCTTTGGGAAGACATGCCGGCGTGCTGTGATAACCAGCCCAGCTGCATCCCCATCCCGATGCCAGGGAGCACGGCCCACGAGTCCACCTCTCGGGCAGTGCTGTGAGGAACCACCAGCCCTGCCCCTGGCACAAACCCCGTCCTGCCCGGGACGGGGA